AACCCATGTAAATGATTTGGTCACATGGCTGAGACACCATCTTTTATCTTCTGAATATGATCATTGAGTACGTCCTCTGTTACACTGAATAATAAACGCAAGATTTTCGAAAAATTCCACTCTTTCTATTCCTCCATACGACACAAATGATGGCATTACACTTCTCGGAGAATATTTCGCAAGAATTTCATATTCGATAGGATTGTCTTGGCCTCATCTCTAGTTTATATAAGTAGATATTATAACTTTTAAGTACAAGTTGTGAAGAACAAATAATTCTGAAATATTATCAGTAGGGTTTTTTCTACCATGAAAATCTTCGATCGTCTTCGCAAGATCTTGATGCGGGTCATTTTTTCCCTCCGAAGTTCTCGAGGGTCGGGCGGGGTTCCAGTGGCGGTGATGCGGAGATCGTGCGACAGGCCTGACCCTCCAAAGACTTCATGCAGCTCTTATTATTCTTCGAGTTCGCATTATAATGAGGCAATTGCTGATTGTATTGAGTTCTTTAACAAGTCATCGCAGGATGGAGTCCTATTTAGTGAAAGAAAGTCTGATGTTATGATGTGAGTTTTGTGAGTATATATCATTTTGGGCAATGTGACGATTATGCACTTTCATTACTCGGGATGAACAAGTTGATAATTTCCAACTTTAATTTTCTGTGTTTCTGGGTTGATAAAGCACACAATTCAAAGAGAAGTTTTTGTGTTTAATAATTAACAAAAACTAAATCTTGCTCAATAAATTTGGTGTCTACACGAATTTTTTTCGTCATAGGAGCTAGGATTGGTATAGGATTTGAGTCGTATGAAAAGTTTTTTGCTATTTTAACCTAACTCAACTCTCCTATGCATACATACTCGACTTGGGCATCGAAGATCATAGGCTTAGTTCATGTATATTTAATTAAACCAATAAAGGAAATAAAATCGATAGAAGAGAATTTCATCATATATTATGCTTGAATTAATATTTGTATGTTTGCTAAGCGCATGTAATTTCTTGCATATTGTGCAGTAGAAGACAAGATTGCTCTTTTAAGACAAAATTGATAAGACCAAATTGATGTAAAACTTCAAGCAAAAATGGTAATTAAACATAGGATTGTATTTTCATTCTGCCCTTTTAATATAACTGAGAGAGTCATCCTACTTTTAATTAAGTAGGTGGTTTACGAGTTCAATTAGTGATTCATATTTCTCAGGAAAAAAAATATAGAGTGATGAATTTGGTGAACAAAACTTAAAAATACTAATTCATTTCTCTTTACTGTAGAAAATAGGAGGAAAATTTGCTTTCTTAGAACTAAATAAAAGAAAATATAAAAGTTTTTTTGAATGTGTTTGGATAATTTTTTTATTTTTTACAAGAAGCTAAAGTCCCATCAAACTGTCCTTATCATCTTATTTAAAGGGATCTATTGTTGGTTAATGAATTTTAATCATCAAAATAGGAAATTAATTTTTTTTTGAAGATTAAAATCATGTAAATAAGGATTTAATTAACCTTGAAATCATTGGATTATTAAATCCTCACATATATAGAAAGGGAAGATGATAACCTTTTTGAAGGAGCTATTAATGCGCTAGCGAATTGTTTCTTCTTTAGATCTTCTCCCTTGTTATTCATTAGGTGTTATTCCTTTTTTGGGAATGTGAAAAGTGGCTAACCCTAAAATCACACCAAAATATGCCAATAATGTGCATATTTATAATGACCTATTATGGTTTGAAAATTGCACAAATTTCCTTAGATTTTATTGTAGTAGGTCAATTAAGTCACACACCTTTTATTGGAGCCAAGAGAGGGACCTAATTGGACTCATATGACCCAAGCTCCAATAGATGTTTTCAATTGGGTCAACTCTTGGCCAATTGAGATACATCTATTAATCCCGACTTATTCTACCAAAAAATCGAGATTGCACTCTCGAGTCGAATGATAATTATAGAAGCAAATTATGATCCAATAACAATATCCTCTGATTATCGTTCCACAAGTCAATCCCCATTTGACCGTCAATATGTTGAAACTGGCAAAATGACTGTTTTGCCCTTCAACATGCATTACCCTCTAAGTCCCATTTTCATACGGTAAATTCGTTGTGATCAAATCACAATGTAAAGTCCAACGATCTCATCGTCGACATACTGAGCTCAGATTCAATTTGCCTAGAAAATACCTTAGAGTGACGATTGTCTCATCTCAATGATTAATGGATTTCAATATTGTAAGTATATGATCTCTAATTGTTTCGACTCGATTCCCAAAGCACGGATATCAATATTCTATTTAAGACTTCACTCATTGGTACCTCAAAGAACTTGAACTAGCAATCAAAGGTACATTACTCACTCAGAATTTAGGTGACCTGTTTGATAATCAAGTAGAATCTCATTTCAAACAGTCACAAATGAGTCATCTTCGCGGTCCTGTTCAATGTGCATCGAAGCACATTATTGTTCCTATTTCAAGATTTAGACAAATCTTAATAAGAACAATACAATCTTATCAACATAAAGCGTCCAACTTTATGAATCGATTGTGAACGACATAATTTTGATCACATCACAAATTGTGTCTTACTGTACCCGATCCATCGAGTATATAATTTGTGACACCCTCTATGATCATGGAACCTTAGACAATCATTTCAAATTATAACACGCAAATAAACTAACATAAATTCATAATGTGATTTTACAGAACATTACTCGAAGAATGGGCATCAAACTAACAATCTCTCACTTGCCCTTCTTAGAGTATGCGTGACATATCAAGAATACCCATCCCCTTAAGATGTCCATCAAAAGCCTTAGCTGGTAAGGTCTTAGTGAACAGATCCGCAAGATTATCTGCTGATGCAATCTTACTAACCGTTATGTCTCCTCGATGAACAATTTCTCTAACAAGGTGATATTTTCTCTCGATATGCTTGCCACGCTAATGACTCCTCGGTTCTTTAGCATTGGCAACCGCCCCACTATTATCGCAATAAAGCATTATGGGCCCCATTGCCAAAGGTACCACGTCAAGGTCCAAAAGAAATTTCTTGAACCATACAACTTCTTTAGCAGCTTCACAAGCCGCTATATATTTTGCCTCCATGGTGGAATCAGCAATACAAGATTGCTTGATATTCTCCATACCACAGCTCCACCTCCCAGTGTAAATACTGATCCCAATGTAGAGTTCATAGAGTCACGATCGGATTGAAAATCAAAATCAGTATATCCAATAGGATTTAGATCATGTCTTGAGTAGACAAGCATATAATTTCTCGTTCTCCGAAGATACTTGAGTATATGCTTTACCGCTACCCAATGTTCTGGTCCTGGATTAGACCGATAATGACTAATGTTCGCGAAATTATTTCTTTCGATTTTTAAACCACCGCAAGTGTACGGTTCGTTAACAAGTAATAAAGTGGATTCAATGAGTCCGAATATCGTCTCACAGAGATTGATTAGTTCAAATTTTATCTACCTTAGCCTTAACCGAAACTAAATTACCAAAGTGGATGTAGACCTAATTGAACCTCAATTATGCAATTTTTTTCTTATGATTAAATTGAAATTAATATGCAAAACAATAAATTAAACTCGAGAATGAAATCTAAAAGTCGAGAACGCACTTGTTATAATTATTGGGAATGAAATACGCTAGGATCATGAATTCCCATGCAATTATCACTTTAAACCCTAGTTTCACAATATGATAACACATTTCAATTTTGACGAATCAATGTTTTTAAGTCTATCCAATACTCTCTCTTGAGATGTATCAAACCTATCTCTACATACCACCGGTCTATATTTCTATGACAAGAGCATATGTAAAAATGCATGCAATTTTATGAACATTTAAAGATTCACATAGAGCATAGTGATATATTTCTATCCATTATCGGACCCTACGATGATTTATACTATGTCAAATCTATTCCAATTCTCTTGAATGCAAGAATAATCACTTAAATTCACACAATTACGAGCCCTTAATTGCGGAAATATTAATTGCATATAAATCATTCAACATAATAGAAATTGTGTCTCAACATCAAATTGCAAAACTAGAATATTAAAACTCAAATCACATGGTTCATCGATCTCCTAGCATAATAAAAATCTAGCCTAGCATGCTTAAAATAACAAAATACATCAAAGTTTGTATATAAGACATCACCGAGTCATAAAACTTGAATAAATATTGAAGTTCTTCGTGTCAATCTTTGTTCTTACGCTCAAATCCTCTCCAAAAGTTGTTTTCGGCCTCCAATTACGTTCTCGGCGTCTCTGTAATGTTTTTAATATTTATATCCCGTGGAAAATTAGGTTACCATAGGTATTTCAATCGTATAAGAAAAGAAAATTTTCACGCTGAATTTGTACCATGCGACCGCATGGTTTTAATCCGTGCGGCCGCATGGTTATCCTCTTTTTTCATTATAAATCCCTACATCACTTTGTGCGGCTGCACGACGTTTCTACCATGCGACCGCATGGTAGAATTGGTCTTTCAGTTCCTACAATTTGGTCATTTTTCTTTAATATTCCACTTCTTTGTATCTTTTCTTCATTCTTCACATTCCATCATCCCAAAATGTCATCAATTCGTATTTGGCAAACTCAATTTCTTGATTTGTTCACCGGGTCAACTTTTGAGTAATTGCACCTTGGTCCTTAAACTTTCACTTTGTGTCATTTTAGTCATTTTTCGCATCTTTTCTCATGTATTTCACCATGTCCATCGATGTTACCTACAATTCACAAATGTAATGAAATTAAGTTACAATTCAATCATTTTATTCGTAATTAAGTCATGTTTGTGACCTAAATAAGCGTGCAAAAACACACTTATTAACTAATAATACCCACAACATAACAAATAACCAGTCTAGTGCAAAGCATAGCATACATGAGACTTCCCACAGCCGAAGCATAAGGAACCTTTCTCATGTAATCTATCTCTGTTGCATTCTTGGGACAGTGCCCTTTAGATAGATGAATTCCATGTCTAAAAGGAAGTTGTCCCTATTTGGAATTCTGCATTGCAAATCTGGACAATATTTTGTCAATATATGAAGTTTGGGATAATGCAATCCTTCTGTTTTTCCTATCTCGCAAGATACGGATTCCCAAAACATAACTAGCTTCTCTCAAGTTCTTTATATCAAACTGTTATGACAACCATTTCTTTACAGATGACAATGTCCCTACATCATTTCCAATGAGTAGAATGTCATCTACATAAAGAATTAGAAAAACTACTTTCTTCCATTGTATTCGTTTGTACACACAAGGTTCATCCAGATTTTGCTCAAAATCATAGGTCTTGATGGTTTGATCAAATCTTACATTCCAAGATCTGGACGCTTGCTTGAGTCCATAAATGGACCTTTGCAACTTGTAAACTTTCCTTTTATGACATTCTTTCACAAACCCTTCAGGTTGCATCATGTAAATGGTCTCCTCAAAACGTCCATTTAAAAATGTTGTGTTAACATCCATTTGCCAAACCTCATAATCATAATGAGCGGCAATGGATAAAAGGACTCGAATAGATTTAAGCATGGCAACCGGTGATAATGTTTCTTCATAGTCGATGCCTTCTCTTTGGGTAAAACCCTTGGCCACTAACCTTATTTTGAAGGTTTCCACCTTCCCATCTATACCTATTTCCTTTTATAGACCCACTTGCATCCTATAGGCTTTACCCCATTAGGTGCATTTACAAGATCCCAAACCTTGTTGGAATACATAGATTCCATTTCTAAGTTCATGGCTAATTTCCATGATTCAAAGTCTACATCCTCCATTGTTTCCTTAAACGAAGTAGGATCTTCTTCTTGCTCAGTAGAGATCGCCTGATAGGATTCTTCATAAAGTAAGTACCTAGAAGGTGGTCTTACAACCCTCCCACTACGAGTAATGGTTGAAGGTGCCTGATCGTCCAGTCTGACCAAAGGTCCTTCCTCTCTTCCCACTGTTTGATCCTGTCCTTGGTTAGGAACAACATCCTCATTATCCCCATTTGAAGGGACATGTGGAGATACAACAATGGATG